TCATTTTTAAGAGTAAGAAGTAAGAACTGCAGACATACTGTACATCAGGGCTATTCAACTACACATTCAGTTGGGCCAGATTTTATAACTACAAAATTCAGCTGGGCCTAGACATTCAGCGGCCTAGTAAAAAGCGGGTAGTGACACATTTTAAACCAACACATATTACTGCGATGAAAAACATGCAATTTGTATTCATTGTTCATCTAACTCATTAATTTAACAGAATCTGAAAAAAAAGTGCACAGTTGTAGAATTACATTTGTTTGCTTTAGAAGTCAAATATTCAGGTTATGTTTTTTGAACCAGGCACATCACAAAGTGCNTTGGAAACTTTTTTCACTATCTTTTATGAATATATCTGGTTGTATATATTGCTGATTTTCCATAAAAGAAACAAATGTATTTCAGTTTGTGTTTTATTTGAGTTTGATGCATATAAATACTGTACTGTATATTATGTTTATTGAAAATGCACTTTTACCATAAAAGGCAAGCTCGACCAGTTGGTAGAGGCTCATAAAAACAAAACTGTGTGGTCAGTCAAACAAAAAAAAATGGTTTGTGGTTATATGTGGCCCATTTGATAAAAAAATGCAAACAAATAGTTTTTCCATAGCTTTTTTCTTGGTCCGGCAGTTAAAGGGTTAATCAATCATGTCACTTTGTTTACATATTCCTCATAAAATAATGGTTATGTATGTATTATCAGAAAGTCTGCTATTAGATTCTCCTGCCTCATGTATTACACCAATAAAGCCCTCAGGCAAAGTTTAAATATCTAAAATAAAACAAATATTGGCACCATGTATGAGCTAGCAGATATATTGAACACTAATACCACATCCAAATATCAGCCCTAAAAAAGATGGATATGTATGGTAAATGTATGCCTAATTTGTGAAATGCATGAAAATAAAAAGTGTATCACAGGTTTGAACAAATAATCACATTTGTTTGACCAGTTAAAAAAGCCCAGGCCTAAAGTCAGAGGATCATTTAAAGTATGAAAAGAAGGCTTTAATTTTTTTCTAACTGTGTTTTGTTATTATAATAAAAAAAATTGAACCCCTTTATTGATTGTGATGCTAGGAGGAGTCTAAAATATGGTTTATTCCCTGTTGTTTTCCATTGCAGCATGTCCTTGACTGTTGCTGCTTATTGTATAAAAAAACGCATGTGTTTTGTGACTTTGTTGATCTAAAAACATCCCAGGCCATATTGGACCCAAGCCAATCAATCAATGAACAGACCCCTCACCTTTCTGGGCCAGGTAGTTCATCTGATGCCTCCTTGTGTGCTTCTCCTGGAGCTCCTGGAGGAAGCTGGACCCGGAGTTACTGCGGCCGAGGAAAGCATCAGATCCGGACGCCTCTGTGGAGCTATCCCAGCTGTCCAAATTCCTCCTGCTACCGCCGTTGTACGTCTCATAAAGCTCCACCAAAAGACAGTCCACTATGGACCTAGACCTGATGAATTTGACTCCATCTCCCGTGGTCTCAGAGTCGCTGTCCCCTGCCGCGCTAGTCCTAACAGCGGCAGGTGGAGCTCCGTGCTCCCCGGTGGAGGGCACCTGCTGTCCCGGAGGCGATGATGTGTCATAAGTTGACTCGGTGGAGTTTGTCCACTGCTGGAAGCCGGAGAAGTCCTCCTGAAAGGCGGATACACAATTGACGAAAACGCCGCTTTCGTCCTCGGAACATATACCGTCGCATATGTCAACTTCCAAAAGTTCGGTTCCGTTTAATTTCACCGGCGACGCCATTTTTCTTTAAATTAATATAGTTTTATAGACATCCTAGCAGAAGTTAGAAAGTTTTCTGTGAAGAGGATAGAGTTCCTGGAGCACTCCATTCCTCACCTCAGAAAAGGTAGAGACCCGTTTGTCAGCTTTTAGTTTTCTTCCTGAACGTTCCAGACATGACTTCCCTGCCCCCCCTTCTCCTGGATAACAATGGGCCGGCCCACTCTGGCTAAATATCTCAACGGCTGCCAAACTTTCTTCAGGTCGCGCGACAGGTGCTGGTGGATTGACCAATCACAGAAGAGACAAAAGTAAACCGACCAATCCGCATCCTTGTTTAATCATTAAGCCAGAAGGTCATTTTGTACGTTTATATGAGCAATACTTAACACAATTTAAAGTATTAAACAACGGAGAATAACAGTAACATGATAATACACTGTTAATTTTAGGTATATTTTTTAAACGTTTACTTGTTCATGTATCTGTAGACCTGCCAAATACATCTCCAGATAAATGTGTATAGCAGTGGTGGTTGTTAAACACATTGCTTGTTGCAAAGCAAACAGTTGTGGAAGTAAGCCTACTCTCAGACCTTTTACTAAAATTGGTAAAAAAAATACCAAGACTACCACAGTGTATAAACACTCACAAATAAATATCCTGCATTCAATATGTTACTATATTAAATGTAGTTGCCAAATATAGGCTACTAACAAATAGTCTGCAAGATGCCTACAAAAAGTAAACGTAGGCTACTTGGGATGGGATGGGCCCATTCAGAATAATGTAGGCTAACACTGTAGCCATTATTGAATTATAATCACTGATGTATTATTTTGTACATTATTGAGTCTTTATCTATAGTAATATTATATAATGATTTGTTAATAATATGTTACATTGATAGGCTAATCTGAATCAGCAAAGTAAAAACGTTTATAAAATAGATGTAGTGAATCAAATAAGTACTTTATTTTCAGAAGTATAAAGTTGCAAGTGGGAAAATAAGTGAAGAACAAGTAGCTTACTTTGATATAAATGATGCTACTTAGCTGCACTCTGCAACTGCACAACATATTGTCAGAAATATGAGTCCACTAGACTGGAGTAAACGTATTTTCCACGCAGTAAATAAAAAAAACACGGCGGTGCTCTCTGGTGGACAGATTGTGTAATGGCGTTTTAAACGACCTCAAACAACATTCTGTACTGCAACTTCTTGTATATTATCTGTCACCATACGATATATCTCCAATAATCTAATAGTGGCAGATATCTAAGCTTGCCTGATGTTAGGTATATTGTTGCTAATACTTTAGTTACTTCACTACATTAATGCAGCTTTATAAATTAATAAAAATGAATAACAAATAAATAACAACAATACATTATGACATATTATTGATAAAGTTACCCAACAATATAAGTAATTAACTTTACAAGCTGCAGAGTTAAAGTAATACACTTAATAATGCATTAATAATAATATATATCCAGTAATATAATATATGATTATAAAATGAGTCATTCTGGATAATGAATACTTTTAATTTTGGTCCTTTGATCTTAATGCTTTTGTAAGTTTTCTATCATTTTGAATGCAGTACTTTTATTGTAACATAGTATTTCTACCCTATGGTGACGAGTACTGTGGTAGGAGAAGTAGGCTGATCTCTTACTTTAGCAATCCTGATTTCAAATCCTGAATAAAAGCACAAAAGAAGCATTACAATATCTTTAAAGTAACAACAATAAAAGTAATAATCATGCAGAATGTTTATTGCAGAATCATGTATCGCCTATTTTATTTTTTGTATTATAATTATTGATGTATTAATGTGCACACGACATGGCAATAATATACATATTTCTTAATCATTCCACCTTTGACGGTAGAATAGATATTCATTCATATAGTTGTTTTCTATAGAAAATAAAATATAGCAGTATAATGCAGTAATAAAACAATTTTCCATCTGCATGGGCTAAAAAGTAAGAGTAACGGTTATTTTTACTGATTAGTCATGCTGGGGGGGCGGCGGACTTCTTCAAATCAGCTGACTCGGGCTTCCGTAGCCGTGCAGCACATGACCGGGAAACAAGGAAGTGTTGTCCGAGAAGTCACAGGGCCGAGTCTGTTTTCCTCCGCAGAGGACTCGGTAAATTCATTTCACGCTTAAAAGGAGAAGCCGAGCTGAAGGAAGAGACGGACAGCTTCAGTATTTTATCATTACTTCATGAAAATGGGTTTAAATGGCGCGTGTTCGCTCATTCTTTTAAACTGTTTACTAACCTGCGTCACTTTGAGCAGCGGGTTGCTCAGGAGACCTAACATTGTTTTGATCCTCACCGACGACTTGGACATCGCTATCGGGGGTCTGGTGAGTGCATTTGTTTGTTTTTTTGGCTATTATTACATGCTAGGTGTTTATTTGTTTTACCAATAAGTCTGTGTTTGCAGGATAGGACGATGCATGTGATTTAACTGATGTAAACTTGACTTTTATTTTCAGTCCAGTGATGAAGCTGCTCACATTCCTCCTGGTTAGACACATCCTTGAGGCATTTCTCATAGTCAGCATCATATTTGCTGACTAAAAATCTCGAAATTGAAACATAGAGGTAAAATAAGTATGCCGATGTTTATTTGAGTAAGATGTTAATACCACACTGTGAAAATACTCTACTAAAAGTTACCTAAATGTATTATCAGCAACATTTAGTATGAAAAGTAGAAGTACGTCATGTGTATCTCCTTACTCTTTAATCAGCCTACATTTGCATAACCTGCTTTGGCAACACACACTAAACTGTTCTTATTATATTTTATTTATTTGTATGTATCAGTACTTTGTATGTGCCTTTTTTAACACACAGGATATTTTAATTAATTTTAGGGATTAATTCAATAATATTAAATAATCTACGGATAGTTTTTTTGTTGTTGCTGTTATTGATGTATTGTTTGCTCGTCAAAAGGTTAGTATACAATGAAACTAAAAGGAACTTTTATAAATAGCATGGTTTACCAAAAGAAAAAAAAATGAGTTTACCATTACTACAAGACAAACGTTTTTTTATATTTCTGAAGTTGGAACTAGTGGGTGTTTGGTAAATAAAAGACTGGCAGTTTTAAGTTAAATTAATTTAATTATATTTTTCAGCTCTAACCACAATAGTTGGTAAAGCTTAGAATATATAGAGTTTGGATCTGTGAAGAATGTTTATGCGTGATATAAATATATTTTAAGTAAATGTTATTGTCTCTGTCTGCATGCCAATATGTCAAAACGGTGTTAAAATCGATATTAGGCACTGATGCAACTTAATTAGATAACGGTTACAAAGAGGCTTGTTGTTGCCAAACTAAAGAACACAGGAGGCCATTGCATTACTCAGATAATGAATTTGTCCCATCAATATCTTTTCCTTCCAGAGTCCACTCACCAAGACGAAAAAACTGATAGGTGATGCTGGAATATCGTTCACAAACGCAGTAAGTATCAGCATCATTATCGTCCATTTAGTGCTGTGGAGAGAAGATAGTACAGATATTTAAAAAAGAGCCATTTTCCTCCTCTCCTGCCCCTAACAGTTTGTGGCCAGCCCGCTGTGCTGCCCGAGTCGCGCCAGCATCCTGACGGGGAAATACCCGCACAACCACCACGTCATCAACAACACGCTGGAGGGGAACTGCAGCAGCAGAGCCTGGCAGAAGAGCGAGGAGGCACACACCTTCCCCGCCCTGCTGAAGACGTACGGAGGCTACCAGACCTTCTTCGCCGGGAAATACCTGAACCAGGTTAGGGATGATAGTACCACTACATTCGTGTGCATTTGGGTAGGATCATGGATGTAGGAACAAAATGGAAGAGAAACATGAATTGGAACCATTCTGGAGCTTAAACCAACTGTGCAATACCAACAATACTTAAGCTGTGTAACTTCAATGTTTCAATTATTCAACTGTGACAGTCTAATATTACTAAGGATTAGTACTGCATTACAGTTTACATTTTGAGCAATTATCGGGTTTTCATCAATAATATATTTATTTTTTCGTGTACTCCACATTGCATATTCAAATTTTTTCAACTTTTTAATAAATTGTAGTACAATTTGCACATTTTACTTGACTTCCTTATGTATGCCGATCTGTCCAGCATTTTTGCAACACCTCCTATAAAAAAAAAAAAAAAAACGGACTTTAGGTGAATAGTTAAACACTGTCACAAGGTCTTCCCTTCGTGATTTAGTCTCATGACTAAGTCAAGCTGTCAAAGTTGCATCAACCCTTGAGATAAACAGACGAACCAATTGGGAACCAGGAGACACACTTCACCTAAAGAGAAAGCGAACAACGCTTAACCCCGTTTTCTGGCTTCCCTGTGTCGCAGCTGCTATAACTTTTAACTGACGTGTCTAAAGTGATACAAAAATGCCTTTGCTGAAGGAGTCCACTCGTGAGAAATCAAATGTTTCTGCTCCTCCTAATGTGTTGCAGATTGTTATTTATCAACACAGGTACCGCCCCCTTAACACTATATAAGTGCAGGAGTGTTTCATGTGCAAATACTCGGGCACATGCCCAAGAATTGTAGAGATGCCACCAGGCCACTTTTATAATTGTATATTCCCTAAGAGAAGAGCAAACATAAGAATGGACGGGTACCAACAGAATAAGATACATGCATTAGGCCCGTATACGTCTTCCTGGAAATATATATTTATATTGTGTTTGTCTCTTTATCGGTGTGCTGCTATAATACCAATCAAGAAAACTGAATTCTAGACTTTGGTTGTATAAATAAGTTCACATAATGATTCTGTTTGTGTTTCAGTATGGGCACTCGGAGGCTGGGGGGGTGGAGCATGTTCCTCCAGGCTGGAACTACTGGGTCGGACTGGTAAGACTGACGTTTCTTTTCTTTTTTTAAACAACCTTTGAGCCCCAAAATGTACATCTAGGCTCCCTCCTGTCGGACACAATTGTTTATTTTTGTTTACAATTGAAAGCCTTTTATTATATGTTCCTGTTTGCAAGTCAAATCCTTTGCCATGAATTTGGGAAATGATAAAGCAACAGTCATTATATATATTTTCCCTTTTCCCCCCTGTTTCTGGTACATAAATGTCTCTGGGAAGTTTCAGTGTGTGTAAGAGCAGATCTGAGTTAAGCTCAGTCGTCATGTGACTGTGAGGTGTGAGCCAGACGTATAAATAGACTAAAATTAGATTTTCTTTCAGTCTCTAACTGGGTTTGTCAGTAAGCAGAGGTCACGGTGGTAATAGACCTTTTTTTATCTGCAGCGCTGCTAAACAAACACATCTGTTCCCATGACCCGACACCTTAACTCAGTCATGCTGATTCTATAGATTGTGTGTGAGGAACATGTGACCGTGAGGACGTTAAGTTAATGTTTGTAATCCTACACTAAGCAAGCTTAAAGCGCTGACAACATAAAAAGAGTTTAGGGCTTAAGTTTTTATTTGTTCTTATTTTACTTTTAATATCTGTCCTCTACAGAAGTCCTAAAGGACGATGGAGAAAAATAAGATTCTGGTGATCCACTTTCGATCCATATTTTTCTTTCCTGTGTTTAGGACTTCCTAAGTTCTTAAATGTTTCTTTCATTTTGGAACAGGTGGGGTAAAGAGGTTTTCCAAGGTGAAATAAAATAGTTTTGCAAAACAGTGCAGACTTCATAAGTTTAACTCGAGCAAGAATGTATATAAAAGAAGTAAAACTAACTTAAGGGGTTACATTTCTACCACGACATAAACAGAAGCACAACAATGGTAAAATCCCAAATAAGAGTATTTCATGAAGTTCTTTGTGTTTTCCAGGAGAAGAACTCTAAATACTACAACTACACTCTGTCAGTGAACGGGAAGCCTGAGGAACACGGAGCAGACTACAGCAAAGACTACCTGACAGACGTCCTGGTGAGGAAATCAAACACACCAGCTTTATTTGATTGTGTGTCATTCTTGCTTTTCCTGTTATATCCTATGTATTGAAAATGATATTTTAAATTGTGACTGTCCCATTAAAACAATATTCTATAAACTTAAGAATATACTGAAATAATGATTTGAATATGATATAATGAAAGAACAAGCAAATGTAATATAACAGGCAAGGTCGTTCGGGTTAGTAAGAGCTCAATTAGTTTTTACCTTTGACTTTACGATTTAGTTTTCAGAGTGCGTTTGCTTATTTTAGATTACATACTTTTTTCTTAAAGGGTTTAGTTTTTATACACAACAATATGTTTCATTGCTTGTTTTCATTTTAGTTTATGATAATAACCCAAATAAAAATGCCTAGAATGAACGTCTTTGCTGCGACTCTCAGGCCAACAGGTCTCTGGACTTCCTGCAGTATAAATCAAACTACCAGCCGTTCTTCATGATGGTGTCCATCCCGGCCCCCCACTCCCCGTGGACGGCGGCCCCTCAGTACCAGAACAGCTTCAACACCACCAAGGCTCCCCGAGACCCCAACTTCAACGTCCACGGGAAGGTAGGCTCCTCCTTCCACTTAAACATCCCCTGTGAGGGTGGGACAAAAAAACAAAAGGTGACATTATTCCATCTCCCCTCAGGACAAACACTGGCTGATCCGACAGGCTAAAACTCCCATGACCAACTCCTCGGTGCAGTTCCTGGACGATGCCTTCAGGAAACGGTCGGTCATTGCTGCGTCTATCATTTCCCTTTTACTCTTCTTACTTCCTTCCTTTTTGCTTTACCGTTCTTCCTTCGTTTCTTTCTTCTTCCTTCTCTCCATCCACTGCTTTATTTAGCTTCACACTCTTCATTTTTCCAGCGAGGACAATAAAGCACTTGACTCTAACAATGCTCGTGAACACAGTAGTTAGCTTAACAGTTATTTGACCTTTGTATGAGCTTTGTTTCTATATAAAGTCTCACATTTTGGTTTCCTGGCCTGCAGATGGAGGACTCTGCTGTCAGTGGACGACCTGGTGGAGAAGATCGTGAAAAGTTTGGAGGTCAGATCTGAACTGGACAATACGTACATCTTCTTCACCTCAGACAACGGATACCACACGGGTAATCAAAAATAGACTCTTAAAGTAGCAGTAGATGTTCCTTTTTTAAAACACAAATAAACAAGGACTCTGGATTCAGAAGGTTTAAGTTGACAGTGTTTTCTTTCAGGTCAGTTCTCTCTTCCTCTGGATAAGAGGCAGCTCTACGAGTTTGACATCAAAGTGCCTCTCATGGTCCGAGGACCGAATATCAAACCCAACCAGACTAGCCAGGTACGTGTTCCGCTGCAGTATCAGCTCACTGCCTCCCTGCACTATTTGTTGAACTAAATGAAATGTAATAATCCTGTTTTCAGATGCTGGTGGCCAACGTGGACCTGGGCCCGACCATGCTGGACATCGCCGGCTACAACGTCAACAAGACGCAGATGGACGGCATGTCCTTCCTGCCCGTCATGGTGAGGTCACTTAACAACCTGTTCATGTTATTGTTCTTCTTCAGTGTCTGATTCATCAAAAACAAACATCAGGCATCACATCAGTCTATTTACAGTCAAAACAAAACAACCGTTTTTTCTGATGATCTTTAAACCGGCACCACTTTTCTCCTAATATATCATTTATTTTATTATTAAGTGTTTTGGGGGAAAAAATAAATCTTATTAAAACTAGTTATTTTTAGATATTCAAAATAAACAGATTCCGATATTAATATTGCGCTTTAAATTTAATTAACACAACACAAACAATTTCAACGGATTACATTTAAAAAATAAATGATTCTAGTTGAAGTAATGCGTTCACACCTGCCTTGTATATTCCGGTTGAATCGAACCCTGGTGAGTTTAGTCGCTTGGTGCGGTTCATTCGGGTCGGTGTGAACACAGTCCGAGACCTCTTAAACAAACTAAACAACCGGACTCTGGTCCGCTAAAATAGGTGGTCTCGGAGCGCTTGCTTGCGAACTCTGGAGCGGTTCATTGCTGGTGTGAACGCAGTCGGTGAGGACGCTAGCCCAACAGTACGTCGAGGGGACCATCCGGGGGCAGGGCGCCAGTGTAACCAATCTGGAACGATGGTGTGTGTACGTTCCCCCGCGTGTATGTAGTTCTGTGATGACAATTTTTATATAGTTCCTATCTTTGTATGTTTGTGTTTCTAGGTCCTCTCGAGTGGTGGTCTTAACGCTCAATCCTAGGTCTTCGATTACTTCATCCGTGGTATTTCTTTATACCATATTTTCTCTTAGTTCAAACTCTCTTAGTAAGTAGGATGGATAATTATCGTTTATGTATCATGCTCATACCCTGGATAGTTGGCATACGTTATATGAAAGTAGTTTCGCTTAACAAAAAAACTATGGAGTCGTGGATAAAGACTTTACAATCACAAATTTAATCAAAGCACGCTAAGTCTAATTTAAGATCCTCCAGATAACACACGGACTTACTCTTACACCACGGGATTATCAAGACTGTATCGATCCCAATAAAGAATAAACAGTTCAGAATGTTTCTGTTTCAAATCAGCACTCTCTTTCTTATCTGACCTAAACCTTGAATTTACCGAGTTTATCAATTTTTTTTCGTGTAGTCGATGAATAACGTTACCGTTATAATATCAAGTACCGTCGTCGCTACAGATTTATATACTTTCATAAACATATTCACCTGGCCAAGTCAAGCAAAATAGATCAGAAGTTTTTTATCACTTACTCGTCTAATCCCTCCACCATCGTACTCCTTCTTGGTTCGGCCCGTCTAACTCCCCAACGTTTCTGCAGGCAGTCATGTACCGTCCAACTCCTCACTGAAGCACCGACAAGACCTAAACTAAACGTGTGTGCGCTGCAAACAACATGACTTCAGGATTTGCGTCCGTGTCCAGACCCCTTTGTTGAAAAGAGACGTCCCTTACTGTCAACTGTCATACCCATATCGCCTCTCTATTTGCAAGGTCTTCCGTCAACCCAATAAACATGAGCGAAAGAGGGGACGTCGTAGCTCTAACGTTAGAGAACGTACTGTTGTCACCGGAGCAGTGAAAGTCGCTAGTATGGGCACTAGATAAACTGGCCCAGAAGTCGCATCCCAGCGCCCAATCCTCATGCAACGTAGGGAAGGTGTGGAGAGCTCATAACGGATGGTTCCTCAAAGCGGCTGAGAAAGTCGATACAGACACACAAATTGGTATTATCTAGCCGCGACCGAAAAAATTTACCTCGCGCATGTGACGGGAGGACTTGTAGTGCTCCATCTGCTCCCGAAGACGCTATGTCGATCGATACTACTGTTGGAGAGATACTCTCCCAGCCTTGCTATCTTGACTTGCTTGATTATGACGGCGCGACGCCCTGGGGCTCTCCGCGCGACAGAACGGACTCTTTGTCTTATTAACAAGTGTCTACCTTTACTTAGTTTCTCATTTGATGAATTTCATTAATCTCACGACACTTTATATCATAATGAATTGTTCCACACGTGTTATCTTAGGCTTCACTGCATTAAACGCACGGTACCAAGGATGACGGTGATTAAATCGACGGAGAGACCACACGGTTGCTAGTCAGCTCGTAGTCTTATAACGCATACAATGTAACAATAAAAGTCAATTCTCAAGCCAAGCACCACTAAGTTAGCTGCCGTTTGAGTGTTCCCTATATCTGGGAATGGTGCTAGTTCAGTTAAGCGTTAGACTCAGTTCACCTTTACATGAACAAACGTATTCGAACGAATCTGTAATGTCCCCGCATATATGTACATTTAATCGATTCACCCCCGCGTATTTAGGGACGTAAAGTGGACGACCACTATGCCCTCAAATTTGGACCCGATCCAGGCGCGCGTACCCTCAAGTCGCCGGTAACAAGCCGTCCAATAAGAGGTACGACGACATATAATACCATCTAGAGTGTCTGTAATGCGCCGACGGTGCGTCCACGCGTATAATAATATATTTAGTCTGTTGCAGCATTTGTTGTAATATTGTGATATATTACTCTACTGAAGACGTCTTCCTCCCCCGCAAGCTGGCTGCTGTCCACCAGAATGAATAACATCGACGCCTTCTTAAAAATGAAATGTGCTGTGACAAGTGTGAAGTAAGACGAAGGAGAAATTGATTGTGTTGGGCGCCACAGAACTTTTGAGAAAGCAATTCTTAAAAAACTTCTATACGCGTCAAGAACCTGTGCATTTATGACGCCAAGATACAAGNCTCTGTTGTGATTGTTCAACCACTTAGAGATGTGTCGGAATATCCCGCCCCTTAGCCTATTATGTACAACAGGGCTATTCAACTACACATTCAGTTGGGCCAGATTTTATAACTACAAAATTCAGCTGGGCCAGACATTCAGCGGCCTGTAAAAAGCGGGTAGTGACACATTTTAAACCAACACATATTACTGCGATAGAAAAACATGCAATTTTTTATTAATTGTTCATCTAACAAAGGTAGGTCAAAAAGTGCATAAAACAAACAAATTAGCATTAATTTAACAGAATCTGAAAAAAAAGTGCACAGTTGTAGCATTACATTTGTTTGCTTTAGAAGTCAAATAGTCAGGTAATGTTTTTTGAACCAGGCACATCACAAAGTGCATTTACTGAATACAATAATAGCAGTCTTAATAAATGTCCTCACATACAAAAAAAACAGCTAAAGAGCTCCAATGCAACACAAAGAGGTAGTACTGTANGTGTCACAAGAACGCGGATATCTTCAAAAATCTTTAACGAAAGAGTCTTTCAAGACATCCGCGGTTGTTTAGTTAAAGAGTGAAGCAGAATGAAGTGTTGAACAGTGTCGTGTAAAGTAAAAATTCTCCGTCAGCTACATAAAAGTAAGAACACCTATCGTCGGTGACACGCCCCTCCTTACTGCAGAACGTCTCTCATTATATGTGTTATAATGTTTTTTAACGGACGTTGTCTGATTTATATAATAATATGCGCATTGCGTGGGCCGCTAGAGTCTGTTGATCTCCAGATTAACAGCAGCATGAGAATAACCTGCCGAAAGTGCCGATGCTCCATGGCGGAGACTCCGGTAGAAATTGCTGGGATTTGCGTGTTTACCCCCTTAATGTCTGACCAATGGTTGAACAGCATTTCCGAGCACATGACTTGTGTTTAAAGTTTATAGTCCGTTTGAGTTTTGCCCGTGTGAACGCAAACCGAACCTTCTGAGAAATGAAACAATGTAACAAACTGTGGTCTGGTGCGCACCAGAGAGCGGACTATTAGGTGTGAATGCACCAAATAGGTTCATTGTTATTCTTTGTGGCACCTGTGTAAGTATTACTTATTTCACACTTAATTTAATTAGTTTACTCTTTTGATTATTTCCATCTGTATTACTTGTTTTTTAAGCAAGAATATCCTCTGGGGTTTGATAAAGTTCTAGGTTATCTTGACCTATCAATGAGAGGTTGTGCACATATGTAACTGTGTACCTGTGTGTGTTCAGGAGGGCAGGGTGAACAGCAGCAGCTGGAGGACAGACATCCTGGTGGAGTACGAGGGGGAGGGGAGCAACGTCTCTAACCCCGCCTGCCCTCTGCTGGGACCCGGGGTGTCGGTAAGAGAGGACACTTTCATTTGATCTGTGCGAGGGAAGAAGTCAAATAAACAAACTAATTATTCTCCTTCTTCCATCCGTCCTCTTCCTGCAGGAGTGTTTCCCAGACTGTGTGTGCGAGGACTCGTACAACAACACGTACGCGTGTGTGCGCACGGTCGCCGCCTCCTCAAACCTGCAGTACTGCGAGTTTGACGATAATGAGGTTGGTTTTTCTTCTTCCATCTAATTTGTATTACGCTTTTTTGAAAAGATAAAGACTGTATACAATCATTTATATTTGGATGTGCTGAAACAACATTTGTCATGCAAAAGTACTTTTTTTAATATTTTGAGCCATTTTAGTTCCAATCCAGTCTTTTTTTCTAACTTTGTCTTTGTGACATTAGATAATGCCTAATGTGTAACTTTAGGCACAACAATTTCCTTCGGGACAAATAACGTCCTGTTTAATCTAATCTGCATAAATTAAACATAAAATTTCAGAAAAGGTGTTATACAAAAAACAATTGCCTTTTTAATGTAAAGTAATCAACGGTTGAAGTCTATCCTTCTATTGATTGGTTTAAAGAAGTGTTTCTCCCTAAAGCCATCATATCTTTATGGAGATTCTCTACTTTGGTGCCTACTGTACTGGTGGTGGAATCCATCTTATGTTTTAGTTTCCTCCTCTGGAAGGTAACAGTGTTTGTGGATGTGCGCCCCCTGCAGGTGTTTGTAGAAGTCTACAACGTGACCGCAGACCCCTACCAGCTGACCAACATCGCAAAGAGCATCGACCAGGAGGTTCTGGAGAAGATGAACCACCGGCTGATGATGCTGCAGTCCTGCTCCGGACAGTCATGTCGGACCCCCGGCGTCTACGACTCCAGGTCTGTTCAGCACCGCCATGCTGCATTGATTCTCTGAAAAGAGAAGGTAAAAAATGAATTAAGAGCAGCAGGGCTGATTTGACCCCGAATTCCTGCTTCAAGAACATACAGATGAATTATTGAAACAAACGTGAAATCAAGGCTTGCTTCACAACAGAAAACAGAAAACCAATAAATCTCTGACAGAATCCAAGTAGTAATATTGCATACTCTTGCATATTACTGCATTTGTGTGTAAGGACTTTCTATTACTGATTAGCTGTAGTTAACAAGGTTTGTAGTACTAGAAAATCATTTATAAATGGAAAGTGTATTGAACTATGACTGCATAATGGGGCCATTGAAAGTTAAAAAGAAACTAATGATGGTGCCAAGAGAGGGGGTTTATATTCCCTGTGCTTAAAGTGTTATATTTATGGCAATAACTTAAAGTGGACCTATCATGCTATATTTGAATAATATAGTGTAGGACCATACCTATATAAGGCATATTTATACTTTTTATTTTTCAAAATACAAAACCGATCATGCATTTTAGCCATTCCTCATTTCACTCAATTTAACACTGTCTTTGCATGGGCTGATTCTGTGAGAACAGCACCATCTACAGGCCTGGCATATGTACTACATCGTCTCCAGCGCTTTCGAACGGCAATGTTCGTGGCTGTCTCCTCCTGATTGGTGGAGTTGGCCCAATAGCCGTAGCGCCACTTCTGTGACGTCATAGAAGTGTTCAAATCTGGATCAGTTTGTATCAGATCCGCTGCAGCCCCTTTTTAAGAGATTTGGGTATGGAGGAAAATAGAGAGGGTTGTGTTTTCTGACACTTGGTGAGTTCTCTGGAACACCGGGGACACATATTCATGTATAAAAGACGTACAAAAGTGCATTTTGCATGATAGGTCACCTTTAAAGAGAAAACACCTAGAACATTTTCTAAATTAGCGGCATTAATGTACAAAAAAAACAGAAAATGTAGATTATTTGGTCCATGGATAACATTCAGACACTATTTATGTTTTTGTCAATGTATTACCTCGTAATCTCAGAGAATATTTTTAATTTAGCACTGTCTATATTATCCATACAATTATTATATTGCAAACTGTATTTCTTTCCAGGGAACTTCTTTGAAATGATTCAGAAATGACAGACCAACAGTTTCAGGAAATCTTCTTTGTTTGACTGCTACCTGAACACAGCCTGTTCTACCACTCGTAGTTATAGAATGCCTCTGTCTTCTCAGGTATAAATTTGACCCGAGACAGATGTTTCCGAACCACAGCTGGCCGCCCAGCAGCCTCCGACAGAAGAGGAAGTGAGGAGGTGGAGAAGAGGAGATGAAGGATGGAGGGAGGAGGAAGAGGAGGGCTGAATAGTTTTTAGTATCCAACCTCCTGCTGGTGTTGCCTTGTTTCAGGCCTGAGCGGTCTGTGTGTGTCTGTGTGTGTGTGGATGGATGGAGAAGGGATCAGGTGGGAGTGGAGGAGGGGGGGGGGGGAGGCCTCTGTTGGTACTCCCCCCCTCCCCCTTTAAAGCCTCCAGGTTGGGCTGCTGTTTGTTGAGTTTGTCTGTAGGTGTGCAGGGAAATTATTCAGTGTTGATTTATACTCCCAAGCCATTAATCCTTGTCGTCTTGGAAGCATTCTAAACGTTGTATTTGTTTAAACCCCCTACACAAAGGGGACAAAAAGACCCAGTTCTTATAAATGTCTCCGTTGAGAAAATAATATCAAAGGTCCAAGCAGCGATGAGGTCACAATGTGTTTTTCTTATTTAAATAGTGCACAGGAAGTGGTTTGCTGCATTCGGATGGTCCTCAATCATTTGTCAAATGTTAAATATAAATCACTGAGTTGCACTGGTAGTAATATAAAAGCATAATAATCAAAAACAGCACTTTGGTCACTTGATGTCAACGAGGATCAACCGACTGCAGCTAAAGATTATACTGCGAGGAATGCAGAGAAAAGCGAGCCGCCTACAGAGAAGTTGACAAACAGGAAGTCCAACAGAAACCCATCTCTCAGAGCCGAGTGCCTACATTTACAATCCAGCTGTCTCTTCCACTCTGAAGCTAAAGCCAATACGACTGAATAACGATCCCACACTGAGAGCAGACAGCATGTAACTAACACCAATTTCGATTTGTGTCACAGTCATTACTTTGTATGCGAGTGAAGGAGTCTGAAATCAGTCTGGAGAAATGTCCAATAATTATTAGTGGTATCAATAAAAACCTGCTTATAAGTTTACAGGACCATTTCTGACTTTGAGAGCACTTGCTACACCGTTTCAGTGTCAGACTCGCATAAAAGTACATTACCTAATTTCAGTGTTAAAGCACCTTTTTCATCCAAAATGTCTAATTGTTTTTCATTTCCTGTTTGGATTTAATTCATCCTGTGTTGTATATTTCATATTTACTTTATTTATGTCACAACTGTCACTTTAGATGGGCAGAAAATACATTTCTATGTTGGGGTGGAACATTTCGAGAACTATTTAGTTTTGCATTTAACTGAGCCACATTTAAATAAAAAGGGTTAAAGAGAAGAGATACATTTTCTAGAGAGAAGAAAACGGTTAAACTTTTCCAATAATCAGGGTTCCTGTTTTAGGAGAGTTGTTTTGTTTTTATTTCTTTATGTTTCTAACAAGAATTCTCATTTAGTTTTTTGAGCTGGAGGTGAGGGGGGGGCAGGGGGCTGGACTTTTGAAAGACAAATGAAAAAAATATATTTGATATTTGTATCCATGCCACCTTCTCCCTCACATTTAAAAAGAAGCTTTTTGTTGGATAATTATGTTTTTGTTCCCGCCACACTTGAACTATTCTGCGGCGTTGAAATAAATCTGATTTCCAGAGGCTAAATAAATGAGAAATCAAAGCTACCTACAGAAAGTATTTTTTGGTGATACATTTTCTTTAAATAAATTAAGCTTCAAATTTGTTCAGTTTCCAGAATCTAACCTCAGATCTGATCAGGACATTTTGAAGGGAAATATGAAATATCAGAAAGTCTGGTCGGAACTAAACGACTGACTCGTTGACTTGTGTGTGTTTATCTCAATTGTGAATAATTTTCTGACTGGCTGTTAAAATGTGTTCCACTGCTACTGGAGTTATTATCCTTTTTGTTCATGCAGCGGTTTCCTCCTCTGTATCTGTTTCACATCTGGACTGAATTAATGTGAGAACCCTGAGCTCCACATGTGGTCATATTTCACTGATGCACTTTCCAATCTGTCAGAACTCTCTTTATGGAACCATTAGTTTTATTTTATTAAATATTTTTGTAGAGTTGCTTTTTATGATTCTGTATTTTGGGCTTGATTGTGTTTTTGTCCAAATAAAGAGATTCTCAAAATACTACATTTGTCATTTTTCGATTTGTCTTTTTGTCACATTTACACAAAGTATTTTAAGTTTTGATAACCGGTGACCCTAAAAGCTTTCTTCGCGGACTTACCTTTAAATCTTACCTGTTTTATTTAAACATTTCCTGTTAAATTCTAAAACAAATGCAACGTTTATGTTAAGGTTTGATGCCAGAACTGTAGAAAACTACATATTTTGCATGCAATTACTGTATTTTCTAGATTAACGAATACATATTTTAGTCTATTAAATGTCAGAAAATACTCACAATCCCAGATGTCTTCAAATGTCCACATTTATTTTTAAATGAATTCACGAGTCAAATGTTCTTTTTATATAAAATATTTATTTAATTTCAGCTTTTACAATTACACATTCCTTCCCAAATTAAAATGTTGGTTGTAAATTAAATACAAATCTTAAGAGAGAAAGTAAAATAACATTGAGTTTATTTTGGAAGATGTATTCCAGTTGGATAAAGGTGTCTTCTGCAGACGGTGTGATGATGAATGGGTGGAGTATTTTTTACTTCATTTCTATATTTAATGTACAGTATTTGAGTTATATGATATTGTTTTAGCTCAATGTTCCTGGGAAAATTAAAACATAAATTACATTCTATGAATCAGCATTTTATCAATTGTGTTATAGCTACCACACAAACGTTTACTTTTCTTAAAATGTCTTCACAGTTTCTCAGTTCTTTTCTCAGTTAGTGTGTGAAGAAGTCCGACCTCAAACCAAAATATCCAGGTGTGATCAATGCAACATCTGTCATCAGCTGTCCCCCCCCTCCAGGACGGGCAGGAAGGGCAGGTCGGTGCTGCCCAGGTACGTCCTCCCGCGGTGCTGGAACACGTCGCTGATGGCCCAGGTGAGGCGGGCCTCGGGGTCCTGCAGCGAGCCCACCAGCCCCCCGTCAGACCCCAGCTCCAGGACCAGGGCGTAGCGAGGCAGCAGGACACGGTACCAGCTCAGGGGAATCACCTGGAGACAGAAACACTTCATGGTTATCTAAAAAACTGTTTTGATAATACATCATATTTGATCGTTCCAGTGTCTCAAGGTTGTGAATTTACTGCTTTGTGTGCATTTTTGGACTATGAGCGTGTAAAGTGTAAAACCACAGCAAAGGTCAAATATAATTTTCCATGGAGGGATTATTAAAGAATATCTTTGTCATCTTTACTTAAGTTCAAAGGGGATATGACACCATGACATGCGACCAGATGAAACTCACCGTTTAAATTACTTTTTATTATTCTAAAATCTTCTCTGAACATTGATGGAAGCATTTGAGATAATGTAAGTACACAACTATATTCTAGTTATTTGTATAAGTGTTAATGTAGAAATGTTACCTATTCTACCGTTATGCTCCTTAAACCACTCAGTAGTCTGGTCTCGTTTTAAATAACGTATATTACTTTAAGCTTAAAAAGAGTGTCTCTGTCAGCGTGACCTCAGCTGACATTTCCCAGAGTTCACTCGGAGTTCAGACCTGTCTCTTCCAAGTGTCGGGTGTGACCATAGAGACTGTGTGTGTGTGTGTGTGTGTGTGTGTGTGTGTGTGTGTGTGTGTGTGTGTGTGTGTGTGTGTGTGTGTGTGTGTGTGTGTGTGTGTGTGTGTGTGTGTGTGTGTGTGTGTGTGTGTGTGTGTGTGTGTGTGTGTGTGTGTGTGTGTGTGTTAGTAAAGGGGTCCTGCCCCTGTCCCGTCACATTTCACACTATCTCTTCTCAGGCTGGAACAAAGCCTGTTATTCTCGGCTGACTGACTCACCAGATAATTGTGAATCACACAGCCTTCCAGATGGATCATGGGAAAGTAGATTTGGTTATAAAAACAGCACTCAAAATGTAGTTAGACAAATCATAAGTATAAAGTGTCATAAATATACTGGTTGACAGTTCAAAGTATGAAGTGTGTTCTGTGTGATATTACTAGAACACAATAAATACAGTTCTAAAAAAAACACTCATACATAATTTCAGGATCTGTGTGCCGCTCTTTCCTCGCATAACAACCTCTCCATTTCTCCAGCGATCATTTTGATAATGTCCCACATATATATTATTTATCAAAGAAATTCATATAAACTATGAAACACACTGACTTTTGCCAGGAATCTTTTGACGGCGGGGTACGGGGCGATCATGTCCAGGAAGGGAGGGGTGATCTTCCGGAACCTCGGTGTCGTTATGCCAACAAGGAATGTGCCGTGGTCGCTACGGCGGATGTTGTCGGGGTAACCGATCATGTTGTCCATGACGACCTCCTTGCTGCCGGCCTTTGGGCCCTTCAGCCAAAACCTGAGAGGGAAAAGAGGAAGAGTGTGATGTTGTTCCCTCGTCTCAAAGTAAAAAAGGTTATTTAAATCTGTTTCTGGTCAGAGTTTCAAGTTAGGTTGTTGGTTCATATTAGCTGAGTTAAGAGTTAGCTAATAGATTTGTATTTCTGGTGTTTACATTAAAGGGGCCTTATTTCAGGTGTAATATTTGTATGTTGTTCCTCTACTGTGACATGTTTACATATTTGAATGTTCAAAAAGGACTTTATTTTTCTCATACTGCTTGTGCTGCAGCACCTATTTTCACCGTTGTGATTGGGTTATGATTAGCCTATCACTTACAATGTGCAATAGCCAGTAAAAGTGTGAGTGTTACATAGTGATGACACTATGTTTCCATAACAATGTAATGGAAGTAAACAAAAGAGTCCAATGGAGGTGTTTCAAGCAGTGTGTGGGAGAGAAACTCCCTCTGGAGGGAACTTTGCATGCACTAAAACCTATAGAACACAATACAGGAAAGTGTAAACCCCAAAAAGCATCTTAGGGCCTCTTTAGGGTTTCAGAAACTAATACAATGTGGAGGTTATCTGATCATACACGTTTATTTGCCACAGATCTTATTTTTCAGCAATATTCCGAAATCCAATCTTCAGGGTCAGCCTAGAGAAACACGTCATCACTTCATAGTGTGTACCTCAGTATGCGTCCGATGCTCGTCTCCGCTAGCAACAGAAAGTGCTCGTCAGGTGACAGAGCAATGCCGTTGGGCATGTAGAGATCGCCCAGCAGAACTGTCACACTTCCCGTCTGCGGGTCGAAGGAGAGGAGACGCCCGAGGCTGTTCAGCTCAATCACCTGAAAAAAATATACATTTTAATTTAATTAAGTTCGTTGTTTTCGTTAATGTATATTATTTAGCTTAAATATGTTTAATGAAACTAAGAAATGGTTTTATCAAGCCTAGTTTATATACTGTACTGTATATATATTTAGCTTCATTTGTTGTACAGCTGTTGTGTTTTATTAAAAAGGGCTCCATTGAAAAGCAGCTCTGAATGGACCCTCAGTGTGGTTTTTGGCCAAAGGCTTTGGATGGACGGTTACAAAGAAAAGCCTGAGTGTCCTCAAGTGTTATTGGCAAGCACGATAAAAAAATCTCTGAAGGACTCTGCATGAATCAGCTTCCCTCTGCCTTTTGATCTTCTCAAATAAAAATCTAAAAAACAGTGATTAGCAGATGGTTTTTGGCTAATTGCCTCCCCCCCCGCACCTCCAGGGTGACATGTCTGCGTCCCCAGCGACTGGAGGAGTCGGTGAAATAAATTATCCCCGTCTGAGAGGAAATCTCCAGACCGTTCAGGAAGGCGAAGGGAACGCCAGCAGCACCTGAGGAACAAAGAGAAGATAATTGATATACATTTGTAAAAATCTTACTCTCATTTGGGTTGATTTAATGCATATGGAATACATTTAGGCGAAGGTGTGAATCCTAATAGACGTTGAAGCCAAAATGTAGACACTCAGGCCCTTAAGGACAAAAATGTTCCCATTAAAAGCACAATGTGTTATGTGATCGTATCGTTCATCTTGAGCTCTGGCTTCAAGGCAAAGCAAGTTTCTTTATATAGCATCTTTCAACACAAGGCAATTCAAAGTGCTTTGCAATAAATAAAAGACATTAAACAAAATATATTAATTCAACATTATATTTTTAACTATTTCCACAAGATGCCCTTTGGTGCAAATACATGCTATTTTCTTGGTTTTCTGTCGATGCCAATCATTTACATAAACCAGAATGAAAATTACTTGAAAATAGTCATGATTTAAAAGGGTTTGAATTCTGAAAGACATCAAATATTTGGTATTTCAAATATTTGGTTTTCATCAACCTAAAGTTTGTTGAAATATTTATCTCAGTGAAAGTGGGAAATTATATAATTAAACAACTTTTTGTATTGTATTTTGACGCAAAAAATATTGTTCTCTAAGGATAAAAAAGAATATTTTAGTGATTATTTAAGTGAAGTGGTAATTATTTTTCATCACACACACACACACACACACACACACACACACACACACACACACACACACACACACACACACACACACACACACACCTTGTGAGTTAGCCAGCAGCAGGGTCTTCTCTCCAGTTTTGGGGTCCACGCTGTGCAGACCAAGGTACGAGTCAGCCACGATCAGCTGACCGTGACGATCCATACGGACCCCGTGAGGACGGCCGCACACCGGCTCGTAGTCCGTGCTGCTGCCTGCAGGGACATGAGGACTGCATGTTAATAACAACGTTATAAATGTTTACTTAGAGTAGACATTTCAAACTGAGGAGAAAGAAGAATTATTAAAAGTTTGGAGAGAGACGAACAATGATGTTGTGATCATAAACAAAACAACAAACTATTTAGTTTCAAACTAAGACAAATCAACTATGGTTCATCTTTTTTTTAAAGAGGAAAACAGTCATTTCCACATGAATACAAACCAAACTTTAAGAAGACTTTATTTATTATGTAAAGAAGCAGAAAGTAAACATAAATATGAGAGAAAATAAGTGAAAAAAAGCTGCTGATGACGGCTGCTCATAAGCCAGAGGCCCTTTAAATAATTAGACCGCAAAATGTTTGTGCTGTAAAATGTAATTTCCCGAACTTTTAAGAGGGGGTATGGATTTATAAAG